GTAATATAACTATGTACATTTAATTTCTATACAAAATATTTTTATACTAAAATTTTGCATACTTTTAGGGTAGGATAAATAAAATATTGATAATTTCTACGGAAATAGTTAGCCACATGATTTATTTTTTAATCAATAGAATAATTGCTGGCCAGAAAAGTATTTGTACAACGTACCTGTAAAAAAATAATATTTTCACTTAGATTTTTTCTTTAACACTGTCTAGAGTTTTTATTTGAATATTGTTATTTTTAAACTATGGTTGACGCATAAAAATTCTGTTAATAATTTTATTGAAATCATTTATAATATTAAATACGAATAAAATATGGTCTTTCAAGATTAAATAAATAAAAAAGCAATGAAACTAAAACAATTTATTTTTTTTTTTTAATTAAATTTTATTTATTTCTTACGTCATCTAAAAAGGTCTTGTATTAAAATTCAAGATGTTTATAATTTCATTAAATTTTTACCATTTTTAAATTTTCCTCTCATAAATTTTTTTTTGACTTTGTTTAAAATATTAAAATTCATAGCTAGTAAATCTAAAACTTAAAAGAACCAATATTTTTGTTCCTTGAATAATTTTATTCTAGAAATATTTTTAAAACTCTAATGGATCAAAAAAAAAATATATAACAAGGAAACACGTATATGAATCTAAGATAGTTTTTGTCATATGCAATATAAAATTACAGAAATGTCGTGAAAAAAAGTCTAATAATTTTCTTTTATAATAAAAACTACCCACTTAAAATAGAAAACTTGACAAATAGCTGAAAATAATAAATAGCCTAGTTAAAATTCGAATCACAGAGCAAAATATTTTTAAAAATTATATACCCGGACATGAGTTTACCAAAAAAGATTTCATATTCATTAAAATGATCATTGATTATATTTTGGACATAAAATATCAGCTATCTTGTGTTGTTTCTATTGCCATTTATCTTATTTCCATTACTCCTAAATATTCGAACATCCCTAAATATTTTTTGTGTTTTATTCATCTTATATTAAACAAGCTATTAGATTCATCATCTACTATTCTAAAATATAACAAGAATTTACATTTTAAAATTATTTAAAATCTTTGAATATTTTTCAACCTCATATATGATGTGAATAATCTTAGACTACACTGAAATGAAGGTGACTAATTTTACTATGCTTGTTCATATAATTAATTTCATTTATATTTTTTATTTACAAGAATATTTTTGAATTGTTTTGCTAATTTAATTTAGTTTCAATTTTATTTTTATGCTTTTCAGCTTTATTATCATACGAATAACACACAAGGATTATTGTAATTTATAATAAAAAGAAAAATATCTATATATTTCTTTACAATTAAAGTGACATTTTATTACTTCTATAAGAATTCTTGCAAATTTTTAAATAAAACAGGTTTAAAATGAAAAAAAAATTTGTTTCCTTTAAATCTTAATGAATAACACGAATAGTAAGAACTTTTGAATGAGCTATTTTAAATCTGATTGGTGAAATCGGAAATGTAATTTCATGAACACATAAAATGTTTACATTGAATATAAAAATTAGATTACATAATTTACAAAAAATGATACTTTTTCTTCGGAATAGATGTAAAGGGATTTAAAATTATTCGGAATTTTGTTAAAAAAAACTTGTAAGTAAACTGATCAAAAAGTTATAAAATGCATGGTAAAATATACTTGATTTATAAACTATTATACGCTATAACTATCAAAATGTACTCTGTATATATGAGATTTTCCTCCACTAAACAAATATCCTAAATATCAATAATTAAACAGAGCATGTTTAATAAAAACTATATAGATATTTTATTTTATTATTAAATATAATTTCTAAAATATTTGAGAAAATATTTTCATCTCATACATTGATATTTTATAGGTTGTTTATGTATAAGTAGTAAAATTAATATAGCTGAGAAAACTCACTCTTCTATTAAATTTTTCAAAAGGGGTAATTTCGCCTCTAACAAATGTAACAATTAAAAAATTTCTCTCTTTGAAAATTCAAATCTTTTAGAATTTTTGATTTTATTTCTTCTATGTAAGATTTTGTTTTCTACAGTAAAATTTTTTTAGAAATCAAAATTTGCCTAGCATATTAATTGTAATAGTTCAGATTGAAACAGGCATAATTTTTGGATGTAAAAATCTATTTGGAATAGCATTAACATTCTAAAAACAATTTTAAAGCAATAACTAAATAACATTAAAAGATGTGTGAATCATTTTAATTTTTCTTTTGCTTTTTATAACATGATAATAAACTCAATATTCACCAGCAATGTGAATTTTATATTTATTTTCAAAAACTAGATTAATGAAATTTCCCTAACTTCTCTAAAACCAAAATTATCATTGAATTTTTAAACTTTATTGGAAAAACATCTAATAAAATATTTACCAATTAATAATTTAATTTATGTATACGAAATTTTAGTATAGCAGTCCTAAGAAGTCTTTACAAAAAAATAGCAAATGTTATCACAAGTATAAAAAGTATAACATGGCATATTACTTTTGATTTTATTAATATGAATTGTAATTATTTTGTTTTCTCTAAATTAGTTTAAGTGTTATTAAAAGAAAATGTTAATAACCGGTACATACTATTCTGTACTTCGAAAATGTTAAAACTTCATTAATGTTTTTGAACATGTAACGATAAATTTGAACATGTAATTTAAAATTTGTATTAGAGTTACAAAAAAGAGAGAGTTACAAATATTACTCCCAATGGAAATGTTAAACCAGTGTGATTTTCACTTTCTCTTAATTCATTTAAAAATTATGAATACAAAAATTTGTCCAAAACAATTTATTAAGGAGAGAACCTAACGTAATAAAGGAGTTATAATTGTTAAATTGTAACTATTTTATTAGTTTCTTTGCATTACACGATTATTAAATAAATTGTAGTAAAAGCCAGTGTCGCAGATAATATTTTAAGTTTATTTCCCTCTACACTATATCTCCTTTATCAACAATAACCTTTGTTTAATATCAACATAACTATAAAATAAGTTTGTGAAAGATACACCAAACTTTTTAGCGGTAATGTTTGCATATCTACCTTGTATAATATAAAAAACCAAAAATTATTTTTAAAATTTGAATCGTATAGCATCAAATTTTTTCTTATTTTTCAAGCAAAAATATGTTTTTTTTTTATAATTTTATAATATCGAACTCAAGGTCTCCCAAAATATGAAATTCTAAGGCTTCAACTTTTGATACCAAATTATTGATTGAAATTATATTACCCAAAAAAGGAAAAGTATATAATCAATCTTAAACGAACAAAATAAATTTCGCAGTAAAAATCCGACGGCATAATTTAAACAAAATGTATACTACTTTTGTAGAAGCCCATTCTTAACATCAAAATTATATTAATATGTATATTATTTTACCACTTTGAATACTAATATTTTTTTCTCAGTTGATTTCATTATTAATATTCTGGTGTCATATAAAACATACTACAATTATAACTACTTTAATAAATTATTATTAAAGTAAATGTCTTTAACTTTGAAATCAAATTATAATTATACACAATTTAAATTTAAATCTTCTGTAAGTAATTATATTTATTACGTAACAATATAAGTATACCCTAACAAATATTTACCTTAATTATATAAAGAAACACAGATCTAATTAACAAATAAACAATATTTACACATACCATTCAATAAAGTCAACTAATATAAAAAATTTTTGCAGAAATATTATTAATTTACATCATACACATATAATTATAATTTATATATACAATTTATATTATATAAATATAAATGTAATTAAGTTCTCAACTCAACATAGATATAAAAAAAATTCACAGTCAAGTTTAATAAATAAGAATTTGTTTGAAAAATGTCTCTCTGTCTGCACAAATTAATATCAACAAAATTAAATTTCATTTCTGCACCCAAAACAATTAAAAACCAAAAAAAAAAAAGAAATTACATTTGCATTGTCAATACTTATAATAAGGAACCAACTTTTTTCCTTGCATACATTTTGGCTTTAAATCAATTTTGTACCTACATATTTTGCTTGTTGCACACTTGTAATAAATTTGTTTTTAAAAATTGTCACATTCGAAAGTAGATTGGACTAAAAAAAATTTAAAAATTATTAATTTTAATTAGAATACAAATAAAATCATAACAATATAGAAAAAAATTAGATTGTGATAAAAAGTAGAAAATCCACAAAATTTTTGCATGTTATTAGTTTTTCTATTTTTCAGAATTAATTGCTTGAATTTCGAAATTAAGTAGATGATGCATTTAATTAATTTGTGAGAAAAAAAAAATTTTTTTTTGAAAAATAGTTTTCTTATTTTAGTTTTGCACAATATTTTATACTGTTATACTATATATATATGAGATTTTAATGAACTTATATACACTAATTCTTCTTATTTAGTATGCACACTAAGACTTTTTTAAACAAAAAAAAAATTGAAATGCATATTTTAGTTAATCTTTAGAAAAACGAAAAAATTTCTAATAGAGCTCTAAAAAAAATTTCGATTATTTCCAAATTATTTTTCTGTAAATCTATATATTTATATAATAATTATATATATACATAAATATAAATTAATATATTATATATTATACTAGCTATATATATATATATATATATATATATATATTACTATTAATGCATTTTATAAAATTCCTATATAGATTTTTTTTTTCCTATAATAATCTTTGATCTTTTATAAATTATTTCTTATTTACATTAAGTGTATCTCTTTTTCTAATTTTTTCTTTTATATATTATACAATCATAAATATTTTAAATTAAAAATTAATATTTAATATAAAAATATACATTTTTTTTTTCTCCATTCTTTTTTCTTTCTTTTGTATATTTGATTTTTTTTATTTTGTTTTGGCCCAAAAACCAAACTTAACCATATCAAATATGGTTTTTATAAAATATATATATAAAAATCAGGTCCGATTGGAGCTAGTATTGTTGCAATGTCACCACGTAATATTATGGACTTAAATCCAGCTTTAGCAATGGTTAAACCAACATTTGAATCGAAAGGACCACCAATAACAGCCAAAGAATGTAATAAACTATTGGATCAGTCAACTGAAAAAAATTTCCTTTGAGTTTAGCTGGTGTTTTGTTTTTTCTTATTATTTTTTAATTTTTCAATTATAAATGTATACGCATTGTTAAAAAAAAAAAAACAATTCGTATATAATAAATAAAAATCATTTTACACACAATAAAATAAAATTTTGTTCTATATAATTACAAAATAAATAAAACAAAAACAGAAAATCAAAAAGAAAATGCTTTGGAAAATAATTTATAAGCAAAACGGCGATTTATATAACGGAAAATAAAATATTATATCAAAAAAAAAAAAACTAAATTATTTGATAATATTGTAATGAAATTATTGACAATTCATATTTTAAGCGAAAAAAATTAAATTGATAAGAATAAATAAATATAAAAGGAAAACATTCAACAAGAAAACAAAAAATTATATGTATATGGAAAAGTTCCAGAAACGCTTATATAACAACACCTCTACAAATAATATTAAAAGTAAAAATCATATAATAATAATATTAATGATTACATAATAAACTATGCAGCAAAATTATTAATTTTTTTATATAATAAAATTTTATATTTATTTTTTTTTTTTTTGCTATTTTAAAAATTTTTGATTTCAAATTTTCAATTGATATTTTTCTATATATGGTGGATTTCATTATTACAATCAAAACTTGCATTTTTATAATTATTATTTAAGTTTTATATTATATATAGTTTTTCTTATTTTATATAATGAATTTATTTCAATAAGAAGATTACAAAACAAATACAACGACCAATAAATAAACTATTTTGCAAAAAAAAAAAAAAAAATATAATGAAAAATAAAAAATAAATAATAATTATTTACTTACCGAAAATTTTATTAATTTACTACAAAAATAAAATAAAAAAAATAAAAAAAAAATATTAATAAAATTAATAATAAAGAAAACTTTAAACTAAATCTTTAAAATAAATAATTTAAAAGAAAAAAATAAATAGAGAAAAATTTAATAAAAATGTTCCAATTTGCATTTAAATTTTTATTCAAATTTTATTCATTAGCACTCATTTGTTATTCAATATCGTAATTGTTTTTTATATAATTTTATATGAAATTAATTAATAAATTTTTATTTCATGAATGTTAAATATAATCTGATCATTATAATTCGACTATCTTCGATAATAAAGATCAATGTACCTATCTACTCTCATTATTAAAAATATTCTTATTTGTACTACGATTCGATTCTCTTAATTTTGCAGAATTTTCTGTTAAAAACAGAAAATTTCTTAATGTAATTCTAATATTCTACAATACTAACTATTTATGATTTATTTTTTAAAAATATTTAATGGTATTTATTTAATAATTGATTTAAATTTATCAAATAAAATTTAATTATGAATAAAATAATTTGATCTTTTGTTATATGTAATTTTTTATGTATAATAAAAAATTTCAATTAAATTAACAATATTATTTTGTTCGATTAATTAGTTAATCGAAAAAAAATTTTAGTAAAATTGAAAAATTATACTAACAATATTTTACTGTTTATACATTTAATCAGTTCTGATTTTTTGACATTTTGATTTTATTTAACATTATAATTTGTATGTATATTTTATGTAACAATATTATAATATATTCTATATACAGCAATTTTATATAATTTAAATTTTATTTTAAAATATTATTAATTTTTATTTTTATTTATAAAAATACTTTACTAGATTTATACGAGTATTAGTAATAATTGTTATGTTATGGATTTATTTTATAAGAGTACATACTTATGTATGTATTTATTTTAGTTAAAATCGAATTTATTGCAATGTTATACAAATACATATATATTAAAAATATAATAATATCTTGCATTTACCAATGATCAAAAATTATATTAAATAAAATATCAATTTCTAAAAAAAACAAAAATCTAATAGAAAATAAATAGTAACAAAAAAATTAAAATAAAATTAATATTTATTTAATACAATTAATTTTTTTTTTATTGTTTTAATAAAACTTAATATTAACTACAAATGAATTACAATGTAAAGCTTTATAAAAAATAATATAGAGAAAATTTTAAAATAAATTATTATTTTTTTAAATATTTATTTTTTAATATTTTTTTTTTACAATTTCTTTCTTTTCTATAAAAATAATTTTTTAATTTCTAATTTTTGTTTAAATATTTTTATAAACTATTTATTATATGTATAAAATAAAATACTTTTAAAATTTATCGCAAATTTTAAACGCTTTAAATTACTAAACAAACATAAAAAAAAAAATAATATTACCGTATATAAAATAGTTTTTTAAGTTAAATATTTTTTTATTAAAATTATATAATAAGTATAATATGTATATAAAATATAATATTATGTATATACTTGTATATGTACTTTATATATCTGTATATATATAATATTCTTACATTAAATCCGTATTTATAAGCTCTATAATCGTTAAAATTCTAAAAAAAAAACAAAAAATAAAATTTAAAAAAATTTTATTTTAATTTGTTTGTCTTTTTTCTTTTTCTCAGACATAAAATGTTATTTTTAATTTGCAATCGTAATTAAAAAAGAAAAAAAAAAAACAAAAAAAAATTTGTTATATAAATTTATTGTTAAATCATAATATATATTTATGTATTTATATAAGTATGAATAAAATTAAATAATTAATATAAAAATTTATACGGGATATAGTAAAATTAGTTTAAAAATTTAAGGTTGTAATCTCACCGCGTATTTTATTTAAAGTTTGATTAATTTTATTATATTCATGTATTTTAAAAAAAAAAATAAAATTAATATTTCAGAGTGTATTAAATATAGAAAAGAAAAAAAAAATAAATAAAAAAGGTTTCAATCTTTCACTGATTGATTGTTCTCATATACAGTTTTAACTAGAACATTTATTTTGTTTTAACACACATAATTATACAAGAGTAAACAGAATTCTCTATCTCCGAAGCGTAAAAATCTGAGTTCTACATTTAATAAACAATACTCATTTCGAATTTTTCACTCATTAATTAATTTATCACTGAATTTTTAATATTTTCTTCATTCATCTTCTTTCATTGTTTCATGTTTTTTACTTTAATTATCTTTTCTCTTTCTTTAATAAAAATTTTTACAGCGAAAATAATTCTCTTATTTATTTCATTTGTAATTATTACAATACAATTATATCTTTTTTGTTCAAGCTCTAATCTTCTTATTCTCAGTTCCGGCAGATAGAGAATTGTAAATAATTACAACATATGAGATTATTTTTCGTTTTCTATTCACACATTTTCATTGTACAATCACAATACTTACATATGTAAACTTTAAATAAATTACGAATAATTTTTTATTATCAAAAATTATTTTATTAATTTTACTATATCATGTAAATAACATTAAATTTTTTGTAATAGGTATATACTTAAAATTAAAATAAAAAATAAAATAGAAAATTTTAAAAAACAAATCGATAAAATCAAAAACTATTAAATTAAAAGAACAAATACCTAAAATAATAAAATATTAATTTACATAATGTAAAAGAAAAAAATTGTATGTTTAAAAAAATAATTAAATAAAAAATTTAAAAGTAAATAATGTTTATTTAATAGCTAATTATTAAAATAATCTAAGATAAAATTTAAAATAAAAAAAAACAAAGTGAAATATTAAAAAAAAAATATTAATAAAACCAATATTAAGGAACAATATTATTATTATAAAATTTTAGATAGAAAAAAAAAAAGTTTTTTTCATATTTTTATTAGAAAATAAAATAAATAAATAACTTAAAAAAAAAAAAAAACAAGAAACTTATAGAAAATTTAATATTGTTAAAAAAAAAATAAATATAAAAAAAAATTATACAAAAAATTTCGATGTATTATAAAAACTAACTTTATAAATTTTTGGAAATTTAAAAAACACAAAAAATGCGTACATAAATAATAATATACAAAGATATAAATAAATATACCATACATACATATGTATAAATATATGTATATATATATATATCTATATAATATGATAAGGTATGAGAAAGATAAAATAAAAGAAAAAAATAAGATAAAAAAAAAATGTAAATATAACAAAATGTTTCAGAATTCATTAAAAAAAAAAAAATATAAAAGAAAATTACTAAATCGTAAACAACTAACCACTAAATTAATAACAAAAAAAAAGAAAACAATAAATTTTTCGTGCTTTAAATTCATTAATTTTTTTTTCTCGTTTTATTTTAGTTTCTATTGTAACCTGCATAAAATATTAAAATAAAAATTTATTAATAAAAATCCTATTAAAATTTAATCAAAATAATAGTGAGAAACTATACTGAAATATTTAAACCAGTACCAATTTTAAATTTCTGTTATACTATTATTATTCATTGTGTATAAAAGATATTGTGTATTTTTTCGAAAATTTGGACTTCATTAATTACATAAATGTTTATTTTGTGAAATTCCAGTAAATTATTTATAAATTTATAATTTGCAATATTCTGTTATCGTAGTTTTTTCTTAAATATCGTAAAATGATATCAATTAGTATCACTGACCCCTACAATAACTGAATGAGCAAAAAAAAAATATAAAGCTCTATTTAATTTTTTTTCCAAATATTGTTGTTGTGTTCACAATAAATATTCATTAAAATTTTAAGAAAATTAATATTATTTACGGTTACACAAACAATGTTTCTTAAAATTCACAGTAAGTTTTTTGTTACAAAAAAGTTGGAATGAAAAAATTTTAAACTTTAAATTATTTATTTAAAAATTATTTGAAAAATATTATAGAAATTTTAAAAATTCTGTTTAAGTTTATACACTATTTAGTTATATAAAAATAATGGGCTCCCTTTTTGATGAATTAATAATAAAAGTTTTAAATAATTCATATTTTTCTATATTATTTTTCAAAATAATATCATTTAAAAAAATATTAACACAATTAATTATTATATGACTATAGAATATCATATTTAATTTTTAAAATAAATAATTTTTTACATCTATATATTTTATTTATCATAATATCTAAGTTGAGCTCAATAAAATAATATTTAATTTTATAAAGTACATAAATTATTTTCTATAATATAAAAATTATTTAAAATAAAATATAGATTCATATTTTATGCAATGCCAGTGTATTGACTTTTATAATTGAATAACAATATCATTGTATAAATAATAATATTTATAAGTATAAAATTTTTATAGAAATATTTAAAATTTTTTTATAATTCTTATATTAATTTATTTATTATATATACATAATATTATTTTTCTCTTACTTTTTTAAAAAAAACTCTTGGTATAATGTTATAATATGTATACCAGTTTTAGTATGTATTATAATATGTAGAATCACATTTGCTTATGTTATTGACATAATTTTATAAATATTTATTAATAATATCAAAAATAATATTATGTATACCAATATAAAATATATTTACATATCAAAATATTATATTACATTATCTGTTATTGACTACAAATTTCATATCATCTATCTCAAAAAAAATATATTATTATTTTTCGAATAAAATAACTTCTATTTCTAAAATAATAATATAATTTTACATTCAATAATTTCTGTTTCAGTTAAACAATAATATTAAATATTCACTTTTTGCAACGTCCGGACCAATATTATGTCTTTAAGTCTATAAATTCATACATTATTATATAAATATGCAAAAATAGCAAAAACCAAAAAAAAAATCAAAATATTGTATATATATAAATTATTTAAGTATGTTTTTATTATTATCAAATGAAAAATATTAATATCTTTCGAAATTTATGAATATATTTTTAGAAGAAAACAAAAACAAACAGAAATTTAAATTAGTGCGAATTATAAAAATATAATATATGAAATAAATTTAAAGTAAAAATATATAATATAATG